CGGCCCGGAACAAGATGACTTAGAACAAGGCGCAAAGATTGTGACCGGTGGTATTAAAAAGGCACTGCCATGGAGGTGTGAGCTGTCAGTGGAACACGCTCATCGGTTTTTATTTTGACTTTATTTTGGCGGCCGCGCGACAGAATATTACACCACGCGAATAGACCAGCTGGAGCGGCGTATGACGCAGGTATGGTGTTCAAATTCAAATAGCTTTGTCTTTCGCGTGGAATCAACGACATAATCAAGTTCTCTGAGGTTTCGTACGTGCTAGTTCTATCATGATTCGAACCTTTTCAAGGTGAGTGCTACGCTATACAGTCACAGCCGTTACAAACGGCCAGCATTGCTGGTTTCATACGTATATAGCGTATAAAGCTAGCAACTAGTAAGCGTAGAAAGCTAGCAACCACAATGCTTATTCTATACGCATAAAGCGTCACAAAACACGGTCTCCAAGTGTTCTCCGGTACATAAGTCCGGAGTACGCCATTCAGGGTAGAAGTCGGGGCGCTACTCCGTCGGTGATACAGCGGGTTTTCAGCACGCCACTCCATACAGCCCGAACAATGGGCGCCTGCAGCCGGCCGGCGCGCGACCCGGCGTGCGTGCGCTATCTGGCCATCTGGCCCGGCTCTTGAGCCGAGAGATGGCGGCCGAGACCAGCCCGATACAGTGCGCGGTCGTGTTCGATTTCTCTCGTTCGACGGCAGCCGCTGGACGGAACGCCACGTCAGCGCGGCTGGGCTCGGCGCCGCCGTCGGCCGGCGCGTGGACTGACGTTGTGCAGGCTGCGGAGGGCGGCTGCGGGCGAGGCGAGCGCGAGAATGACGCAACTCAGTGTTGACACACTCACCCTGGGGAGCTGTTTGAGAGGCGCGCCCTGAAAGCGGGAGGGGAGGGGGTGTGCAATCTGTCCGATCTCCGCTATCTTTGCTCCCAGTACAGCCAAAGACAGAAATAAAAATATCCGAAAAATGCCCAGAAAAATGTCCGTTTCGGCAATGCTTGAGCTAAGCAATATATCTTGAATAATGCCCGGTCGACAATCTGTTGATTCCTGGTTCACGTAAACCAAAAGTCCCACGGTTTAGGGTCAAACGGGGTCACCAACCGGAAGTTTATGTCGCCTGGAGATCACAAGCTCAAGTGTTAAGGGTCAAGGATTAACGATAAAGTTGTAAACACCGGCAAACAACCAACTGTTGTCACAGCTAGCCATCGTTGAAAGCATGCACATTGTCTTGTAGCTATGACTTAGTGATAGTTACGGACAAACCGGGTCATGCTGATGCCTAGTCAATCGCAGATTAAAGGTGACACAAACTGGGCCAGCTGACAACTCTGATTTGCAAAATGCCGCTCAACTTTGCATGCTAAGTGTATTGCGTATTGAGCTCGAGAGATTCGTCAAACAATGCCAAGCTGCTAGCTGACCTTTGTATCGGCGCACTGTGAGTTTTTCGTTGTTCTGAGAAATGGATATAGGGATTGGCAAGAGTGATACGCGGGGTCCAAGCCATGCCAGGGCGCCAATCGCTTAGCACAAAAAGGTAAATACACCCCATAAATGTTTTGGTTTTACGTGTAATAGATGTGGTATTTGTCGCAGATATCCGTTGAACCATTGAAAACTAACCAAGCCAATTGTGATGAAGAGTTGTGTCTTCCTGGTGTCTACGCAAGCATCTAAAGCGTTAGCCACATACCCTTTTCGTGGTGACCGCTCTGTGGCCTCTGGCTGTTCTCCTCATGGTGCTCCACAACAATCAGCGCCAGTTTCCGGCAGATTGACACTTATGCGGATCGGTTGGTTGCATGTTCGAGCTGAATAAAGGCTCTGTTCAAAAATAAACTCTTTCCGAGAATACCACAGGAAGTAAACGTTGCCAACGCAAACCCGCGGCTCCACCAAACGGCAGCTTTGTTTCGTCGTGAACGCTGTCACTTCAACGCGGCCAGTCAGCGTCTGGGCCAACGGGTATTTCGGGTGCTTTCGGAACGGGTTTTCCATGTATTTGCAACACTTTCGGACGTTTTTCTCCGCCTGGCCCCAAACGGGTTTAGCAGAACTACAGCAATGCACCATAGATTTTCAGCACAAAATTCGATCGCAATATTTGCAGCAGCAATAGTGCATCGACACCATGGAACGGGCACCTCCAGTCTGGTGTCGCCCGGCCAAGTGCTGCCTCCATTTCCCCAGGATTTTGGTAAGGTCTGACCTATGGGTTGGAGTATTGGCGGTTATCACTCGTGCATTATGACCTGTATCATATCACACAAATGTTGCATTGAGTTCTTGACGAAATAGTAATATCCCATATAAGTGAAACCCCCATAGGTTTTTGAAGTAGACATAATGATTCGCGTAAGTTGGATACAGCACAATTTTTCGATAATTTTCAGTAGGGTAGCAATGATTTCGTTTGGTAGGAAAGCAACAATTTCGCATATAACTCGTATTAAAAGGAAAAGTACGCATAAGAAATAACTGGATATGTCCCTGCTGCAGAAGTGATGACGGGTATGTTTTAACAGTACAAGTTAAGACATACTCGTCATTTACGTGTAGCACTCATGCCATGTTTGAATTTTTGAAGTAGAAGCCATATCGGGTCTATTGCAAAGACTCAAACTAATTAGAGGCTGCATATGTTTTTGCCATACATTTAATGGCAGGTATGAATTTCAAAACATGCATTTTGTCGTGACACTCATGTGTTTTACAGCATGTGCCATTTGCATGTGCCTTTGCAGTTCGCGTAATACATATAAGAAAAGCCTTTATAGGTTTTTTACAGTGGAATTAATATCACGATATCAAATGTGGCACTCCTGTCGGCAAGAGTTTTTGCCGCATCCCTGATACTTTAACGCGCCATGATTGTCTTGCGGCACAGTCTTTAAAACGGGGCTAACGTCTGCTGACATCTAGTGCCTGTGTTTTGTATTAGTTTGGGGTGGCCGTCCGGCAACCCAGTGTCGAGCGGGGATGCTCTTCCACGTGATTTTTTGTTTGGGATGGATGGATAGGATGAATAGGTGCAGTCATTGGCAGAAGTTTGCGTTTTTAACTTAAAGAGCGGTAAAAAGTGCAACCGCCCTTTAGGTAGTTTCCCACGGGCGTCGGTACACCAGGGGCTTTTAGGTAGTTTCCCACGGACGTCGGTATACCAGGAGCTTTTAGGTAGTTTCCACGGACGTCGGTATACCAGGAGCCTTCGGAAACCTGCACCCGATTATACCTTATCGATGCATTAGAAAATCATCCTTTCATGAGGGCTGGGTGGCCAAAACTTTTTGCCAGTGAAGCACTCACTTTCTTATTTTCAAACTGCATTGCTTAAAAGCTGGTTGGTAATGGTTCTGGCGGGGCGTGCCCATCCCAGTCGAAGGAATGAACTATATGGTCATTTACGGTTTTAATCACGATAACCGAATGGTCGGAAAAGCCGCAAAATTGTGGTGTATATTGACCACATTGGATTATATTGCACCCCACCACGGTCTTAATGGCTCGGCGCCTTGGGTAAGGCCACAGGGTGTGGTGCTTAGGGCTAGTTTAAAAAGGGCCATATTGCCAGCTTACCGGTCAGTTCCCACAGCGGTGACAACTCAGAGGATGTAGAGATCACTTCAAGTTTAGCGAAAACAACACTCGTCTATATCTAATTCTTGGTTTCATGTCTTCGTCTTGGTTTCATGTCTTTGGCTGAAGTAGTCTGACGCCAGCCCAAAACGCCCCCAAAACAGCGAACCCATGCTTTACTTTAAACGTGTGTAACTGACTGAACACACCAACCCAAACTTTTGCCAGCCTCAGCACGGCACCGTTCTCTTCCCCTTTCGAATGATGTCGGTCTCACATACTGCGGCGCTTGATTGTCGAGATCTGGGCGAGCTCCCATCCGTGTTGGTCAGCTTTTTCGCGATAGGCAAAAATTTACTTGAGATCTATGCCGATCAGGCAGAGAGTCCCTAATCACATTACAACGTTGCAAGACAATCAAGCCTGATTGTATTCTTCCCGTAAATATATTTTAAAGCTTATGCCGAAAAAACACTTAGCTTCTTGCACGTCATGTTACGGAAGACTGGATGACCTTACGGAACTGTTTTAATATGGGTTGTCAGCTAAGGGTGATGCAACCCTCCGTTACGCCCACTGAATGACGAGCGTGACGCGTGGGTCTCAAACGACACTCCAGAGAGTAACCTAAGCTAATGAGCCGTAGCCCTAACAACTTCCTCGGATTCTCTCTTGCAGTCTGCGTTGCTCTCGGAAACGAACCGGACTCTTCAAGGCAGTGTCCGACGTGGGTCAGGAGGCGAGACAACGCCACCGCAGGCAGGCTGACTGAGCTGTGAGGGTCGGCGGCGCGGCGGTGATTGGGCCGGGAGCCGACGCCGTGTCCGATGAGAGTGACCACACCGACGTTAGGTGCTCCGCACACGACCGCCCATTGGAACTCAGCCGCGACCTATTCCCTTAACGAGCCGATGTCACGGCGGTCGCCGTCGCTGGCGCGCCGACAAATCGTTGGTCAAACAGCTGGCGCGTCGGCGGCGACGGGCGACTGCGCGCCGCAGCCGCAGACGCCAGTCGATCGGTGCGGCTCGGCCGGCGCGCTCTGACCGCCGCGCTGCCATCTGGCGGGGAAAACGGTACCGCATCCAAGATGGCCGCGCGGTGAGGTGGCGGACGGCGGTCGAGGCACGATGCGGTCGCCCAACGGAGCGGCCGAGCGGCAACGAGTGGGGCCCGCCGGGCGGGAGCGGCGCCGGTGGACAGGCGGCGGCGAGCAGTGCCACTGATGCGCGCCCGGCTGACGGTCGGCCATGCGCCTCGCAGCCCGGCCGGCCGCACCAGCCCGTGACCGGGGCTGGGCTGGCGACGACCGGCGCCGGCGGCCGCCACTCTCCGCGTTCCTGCTGCTCGCCGTCAGCGTCACTGGCCAGGTGGCGGCGACACGCGCGCGGAGCCCGGCCGGCCCGGCGTCAGCGCCGAGCCCGCCGGCGCCGCGCCTCGACCGCGCCGACCACAACCACCGCCTGCACGAGTGCCTTCTCGTCAACCGCAGTCATTGCCAGCCGGCGCCGGACTACGGCGGCGAGTCCGCCTGCCCGGCCATGCAGAAACTGCGCCAGCATCGGCTCGTCCATTGTTACAGAATCAATTTGTGGTATTCGTTGAATTTGACGGTCCGCGGGGACGACAGTTGCGTGGAAGAGGAGCTTGAGCAGCACATCGCCATTTTGGATACTCGTGATCGACAAGTGGGAATGATGTACGAGAACTTCGAAAATATCCTGGACCGTTACTGATTGTGAGGAAGAATACTCAGTGATATTTCAATGCTCGACTTGCAAGGTAAGCAGCATTCCCCTTTCGTGCAACGTAAACGTCGAGCTTAAGTGAGCCAGGAGACTGAGCGATTGAATACCCAAACTCCGTCTCAACTATCAGCATGCGTGTGATCTCTCTCGCTCCAAGTTAAGTTGGATACATTCCGACCTAGCACGAATAGGACGGCTTCTACTTTTCTATATCCACAACAGTCAACAGAACGGAAGACAATAGTTGTATTGTCGTCATTGGTTTGCGTGTGGCAATCGGGAACATCCCCACAGGCCATGTCTCGATTCCATTAGCTTAAAGCAGCGGACCACACTTCGCGTCATCCCCAAATCGAAGTCCATGATATCGACGCTCATAATGCAAGTTTGGGGAGAGGGCGGATTGGTAATGATCTGAGTGCGCAACCAGCGGCAGCCCTTGTGCAGCCAAAGTCTTGCGTACGTCAAAATTTTAATGCAGCATCAGACACGACGATATCTGCAAATTATTGCCATGAAGGCAGTGACAGCGCAAATCAAAGCATGGAATGAATGCTGACTCCAAACAGATCAAAATGTTACGAAAGAACGAGCATTGAAGAGCTGGCCGTTGGCTGAAATGTGTATCAGAGCCAACAGTCACACTAAGTCGTGGCAATGTGCATCAGAGGCAACGGTCACATTAAGTCGTGGCAATGCGCATCAGAGGCAACTGTCACATTAAGTCGTGGCAATGTGCATCAGAGGCAACTGTCATACTAAGTCGTGGCAATGTGCACCAGAGGCAACGGTCACACTAAGTCGTGGCAATGTTCATCACAGGTAATTGTCACACTAAGTCGTGGCAATGTGCATCAGAGGCAACTGTAATGCTTAGTGGTGGCAATGTGCATTAGAGGCAACTGCCACACTAAGTCGTGGCAATGTGCATCAGAGGCAACTGTCACACTAAGTCGTGGCAATGTGCATCAGAGGCAACTGCCACGTTAAGCCGTGGTAATGTGCACCAGAGGCAACTGCCACGTTAAGCCATGGCAATGTGCATCAGAGGCAACTGTCATGCTAAGTCGTGGCAATGTGCATCAGAGGCAACTGTCACATTAAGTCGTGGGAATGTGCATCAGAGGCAACTGTCACACTGAGTCGTGGCAATGTGCATCAGAGGCAACTGCCACGTTAATCCGTGGCAATGTGCATCAGAGGCAACTGTCACATTAAGTCGTGGCAATGTGCATCAGAGGCAACTGTCACACTAAGTCGTGGCAAGCGGCCTCGACATGTCATCGAAGGATCACAAACGTGACCGCCTCTCTGATGAAATGTTGTCTCGAATGGGAGTTTTTTTTGGCGATGGCTCGTTGCGCTGTAACGTTCTGGTTGGTTTTAGGAAGTCGATGCCATTTGCTCGTCCGGACACTTAAGTACACTACAGACACACAGCTCTGGACGAATAAACGGACTTGGCACCTTCTTACCCTAGCCCAAAGTTTTGTGTTTCCTTCGCACCTGTTTTGGCTCATTCCCATAAGGTTATCTGTCCGCATGGAGGCACAATGGTTTCCTCCTGAAATGGCGGGATCTCGGGCATGTCGCTGTGTCTGTTATCTGCTTCAAACAAGGTTGTGAGGCATGACAGTCAGTGCGAGCAGGAGGGACATTGCTTCAGAAACTCTGGAAAAAAATAGCATCACTCCTAAAGGCGTGACATGGAAAACAAGCAATCAAATGTCATCTCAGCCTCCCAGCTTGCCTGAGTTCCCACACTTCTCACTTCAAACGTAGTTTTGAGCACAAGCTTCAAAACCTCTTAAGCTCTCGAAACATCGCCAAGGTCAATAAGCCATCTGCAATAAGCCATCTGGTGACAAATGTAACCACTCACTCTTTTTATTCATCGGTTTCACACCAGATAACCCGCATCATAGCCCTTGATTTTCTTTTCTTCGTTGCGGATATTGTAAACCTGACACGAATCCAATGATCCTGAACACATGGTACTCAGACTCGGATTCAGGCTCAGAAATCGGTCTGAAGCTGAACTGAATCATGACTCAAATCTGACTTAAAGGAAGTAAAGCACATCCTGCATATGAAGTACATCATGACACATTGTTACCTACCCTTGTTTGTCATTATCGCTTTATCCTGCATCGCCGTGACGCTCTGTTCGCGCGCGGAAAGCTGCATGCGCCAGCCATGGGTGGGCTCAAGTGCCCCTTAGTACTAGCCCGTCCGAATGACGAGCACATAGCCCGTGTCGGGGTCCCCACGCGGGCCAAGCCTCGGCGCATGGACCCCATGCATTCAGTTGTGCCCCGCCATTGTCCACTCTCCATATTGCATACTACGGGAATGGTTATTCGCAGCCGAAAGGGCCGTAATCCAAACCAAACCAAGCATATGCAAAGTTCCAAGTTCGAGCCTATGGAAGCGCCAGAGAAGAAGAGAGAGAAGACGAGGAGCTCGGAGAAGGAGAGAAGAAGAGAAGAGAGAGAGAGAGAGGAGAGAAGAGGAGAGAGGAGAGAGAGAGAAGAGACGGAGTAGACACAGCTCTCTCATCTCTCTCTCTTCCTCCTCTCCTCACTCTGCTCTCTCTCTCTCTATCTCTCTCTCTATCTCTCGCTCCTCTCTATCTCTCCGATCTCCTCTCTCTCTCTTCTCTCTCTCTATCTCTCTCTCCTTCTCTCTCTCTCTTCTATCTCTCTCTCTCTCTCTCTCTTCTCTCTCTCTCTCTCTCTCTCTCTCTCTCTCTCTCTCTCTCTCTCCTCTCTCTCTCTCTCTCTCTCTCTCTCTCTCTATCTCTCTCTTTTCTCGCTTCGCAGCGCCATTTGTCAAACTCGAATTGTTTACCATCGATATTGATAACGAAACTCGCAAGCTCCGAGAAACAGTGTTATGTCCAGCAACTTTTTGTGCTCGAACTGACTGGGCCCAGTTATTGGATACCCAGACCCTAGGTCGTGCCGGAATATGGCCGTAGGGATTGTGGTGGATTGAGTTGTTGCTTTTTATAGGTTTTGATTAGTTTCAAAATCATTGCAGTAAATTTAGTAAAGTTAGTCGATTTTACCTGAACTTTTTTAAATCGATGCTTACTTACTCGGCAATATAGATTTTGTTTACTTACTCGGCAAAATACTTACTGATGCTTACTCGGCAAGAGCTCAGGTAAAGTTAGGTAGGTGAAATCAACTATGTTGGTTGGGCCTTGTCAGGTAAAGTCAGGTCAGATAAGGTCATGTCAGGCTAGGACAGGTTAGGTTAGGTTAGGTTAGGTTAGGTTAGGTTAGGTTAGGTTAGGTTAGGTTAGGTTAGGTTAGGTTAGGTTAGGTTAGGTCAGGTCAGGTCAGGTTAGGGTAGGTCCAAATTGAATTACGTGTCGGATTTACTTAAACGCTGTCACTGTATTATGAAGATTTGGTGAGTGATAACGAGAAGAAAACATCCACAAGTCATCAGTGTCGCGACGCATCCATAATAAACAAAACTCACGAGGATATATAGATAAGTTATCATATTTAACATTAAGTTAAGCTTCATACGGAAGTGCTGTTGGTTGGATTTGTCCGCAGAACATGTCACGCATGAGAACTCCTGTGTCGAGAGCGGATTTCTGATGAGTTGTCCGGAATCAAAGGTTAGGCTTGGTCACATGGAACTCAAGTGCTATTTGAAAATTCATGTGGCCCACTCAGAAATGTCCCTAATTTGGTTGAGTGATTACTCCCTTTGAAGCTTAATTTTCACAAAATTGTGCACATCAGGGTTTTTGTGCTCAAACAAGGGACCTTCAAGGCGCCGGGAAAGATACCCAACGTTTCCATCAGCGCAGTAGAGTGCATGCTAGGCGTAGTTTTTTGTTTCCTAGGTTATCTTTTCCGACCGTTACCTCATTGTAATGTTGTTTCTTTTCGGGTTCGCCACGGCTTTTTGTGGAACAAAACAAGCATCCTCTGCGTAAGCGTTTGTCCCAGGCTCAACTTAACGCTATTTCCATCAGACTATGGTGCAACTTTGTATGTAAATAACATGACGTTCCCAAATAAGGTGCTCCACATTTGTATAGGGTTTTGAAACGAAATAACCATTTTGAAAATCATTCGATGCAGTTCACAGCCCTGCTCTCGTTAACACCCAAAACTCTCTGTTACTTTCGCCCTTCCCCTTCTCTTTGTGAGCTACACGGCCGCGAAGATGTACAAACTTTGTCGTGCAGGCTATTTCAAGGCCATTCAGGCATGCCTGGCGGCATATCAACGTCACCTACCCTGCCATCCCATAACCCATGCAGCGTTCAAGGCCAGGAAGAATATAATCGCCCAGTCGTTCGGATGTAGCGTCCATGAGCACGATTTTCAAATAAAGTGAACGTCAATTGGCTCTCCATCAATGTTGACGAGCTGTGTAAGTTTTATACAGGAATCACGTTTCGTGCTACATAACGCAAGAAGTTGAGCAGAATTGCTAGTTGTGACGAAAATAAGACTTGCTAGTCGAATAACTTAAAAGAAGTGTTCCTACATTTATGTGGGGGTTTGAACTGATATAGCCATCTTGACGATCATACCATTACGATATGCGACGATCCTGCCATTCCATTAGCCATGTAGCGATCAAGGCCAAGAAAATATAATTGTCGGATCTTTCACATTCGTTAGCCGTTCGTTAGCAAGATTCTCAGATGTGACGGCCGTCAAGTGACTCTCAATCAATGTTCTGCAATGCGCAATGACATAATCAAGCAATGAGGTACTGAAAAACATATTAATCTAACGGAGAAATTTTGTTGTATAGAGCAGTCCCTGGCACTTAAAAGTACACCGAAAGTTGTAGGTAACCTTATTTCATCACATCTGAAACTTGCTTCAATATCATGAAACGTGGATCGTCCCCTTTAAGAAAACCGCCATAATCGAGTATGTGAATGCAAGGAAACATCTAAAAAACACGAATAAATATGCAAAAATACTAAGAGAAAGGACTAGAGCACCAGCACATGACGATATTTGACCCGAGGGAAACTTCCGGCGCCGC